AAGTGTCAAATCACTATTTTTTTCTTTTATTTTTCCTCGCGGGGTTTCAAGTTCGCTTTCACTAACTCCATTTTCCCGTAATTTCTTCTCGATTAGCATTTTAGCATTAATCAGGTTAGTTTTACGCTGGCTTTTTTTCAATTCTTCATTGGCCGATATTCCTACTGCTACGCCACCGCCGATCGTACCAACAACGGCCCCTCCTATTATCGCTCCTACTTTTGCACCCACTGCTGTTCCTGCTCCGGGGAAGAAAAAAGAGCCAATTGCTCCTCCTATTAATGCTCCGACACCTCCTCCACCGGTCCCTCCGGCCAATCCTCAACCAACTACCGGTCCGTAACTTCCTCCTCTTTCGTTGGCAATTTGCTTCTCTAACTCTTCAATTCTTTGTTTTTGAACAACCTCTTGGGAAAGTCTTTTCACCAACTGGTCTAAGATTTCTTCCACTTCTAATTCGGAAAAATTTTCATTTTGATTGTTGTTTGGCATAATATTTGAATATTATATTATTTTTTTAGTTGTTTCTTTTTCGTTTTACCTCAATAAATGCAAATGAGAGTAATAAGGAAAACAAAATTAAATCCCAAACTCACGGCAAAACATCTAGACATACCTATAAACATTTCAGAAATGCTTTGATTTCCTCACCGCAAAGCTTCACCGTAAGCTCATAAATGATTCCTCTCATCTCTATCTTTATTCCATTCATTTATTACTGCACGACCAAATTTTTGCATTAATTCCTCGGCTTCGATTCCTTTCTTCTTGGCTTCTTCCTCATATTCTTTCATTTTTTTCTCAACCTCTTCGGCTTTTTTCCTTATCCACTTTTTCGTATTTTCTTTTTCTAATATCAGTTGGTCTCTTTCTCTTTTAACCACAGACATTTGTTTTTCTAACTCTAAAATCCTAATTTCTGGATTGTTTTGTGAACCTTCTTCTTTGTTAAAAATCCCGTTTGTGTTTTCACCATTAAAACCGTCATTCGCAAGTGCAATTGCGGGCTTGGCATAGGCGGAATTTTTCCGCGAAAAGCAATTGCATTTCCCTTTTTCGTGTTTACTGCACAACATGATAAATTGAATATTTTTATGTATATTTAACTTATTTTACTAGTCAGCAAGTTTGGATTATCTGGTAACTCGTCTGCCTAAAAACGAGGCGAATGCAAAAAGCTCGGTTAGAGTGCTTATTTTTCCTAGTTTTAATTACCATTTGACTGACGAAAATTTTTCGTTAGGACCAAAAAAGAGTTAAAGCCAAGCGGTTACAAAAAAATTTGGTCCCATTCCGACAGCAAAAATCTAGGTTAAGACTAAAG